TAGGAAGCAGGCACACAGCAGTTCTTTCTCCACCCTTCCTTTTGATCCTGTTTTCCATCTGCCCCACGAGAGTGGCCTTTCGGGGGCCTTCTGTAGCAACTGTGCATCTGTCCCTTTCTGCACACCCTCCTGCCGGTTGGAGGGGACTCCTTGCTGCTGTGGCTGAGTTGCCTCGGCCCCTCTCTTGCCCGAATCCTGGGTCTCCACGAGCTGACTCTGGCCTCATCTTAGACAAGCCCTGATAGCCCACTTTACCAGAGAGGACCCTGGGGCAGAGTGGGAAGCAGTTTGACAAAGATCACACAGCACTGAGAAATGAGATTGGAATTTAGGTCTCTGTCCATTCGGAGCCCACACTATGTTCCAGTTTATTATTTTGGCTCCAGACCTGGGGCTGGGAACAGTGCCCCCAAAGGCAGCTGACTGCCGAGAGTCCCCCAGGAATCTTGGTCCTGTCATTACAGCCTCTGGAATCCACCCCCCACCCCCGCACACACACAGTCTCTCCTGCAGTCCCTAAATGTCCCTCTGATTTACTGCCTCCCATTCACGTGTTCAAGTGAGTTACAGATATATGTGCCAGGCGTCGTGGCACACACCTGTAATCCCAGCACTCAGGAGGCTGAGGCAGGAGGATCGGTGTGAGTTTGAGACCAGCCTGGGTGACATAGTGAGTTCCAGGTCAGTCTCAACTACACAGTGAGACCCTGTCTCAAAAAACCAAACCAAACAAAACAAAACAAGTGAGTTACAGGTATGCAGGTTATCTCTACAGCCCTGGGGCCAGAGCTCTGGGCCAGAAACGCGGCCAAGCCCTGTCCTATGCATCTGTCCCAGCGTGCTGAACAAGTACAGAGGGGGTGCGATCCCAAAATACAGCGAATGTCTACACTTTAACAACGTCTCTCTGTAAGACTCATTGCCGTGAACCCTTTTCAGGGCCCCCCATCTGAACACACTGATCGCGCTGTTCTCACCATGGTCTGAAGCAGCTCTGCAAATTCTCTTTCGTGAGTGTCTTCAGTTGCGCTGTCTTGGCTGCCTTGATGTCCTGAGTCCGTTCAAAACGCTGACCTTTCATGGTCATTTTGACTTTGGGGAAGAGCCAGAAGTCACACAGTGCCAGATCCGGTGAACTAGGTGGACGAGGACACACTGTGATGTTTTTATTTGACAGAAATTTCTGCAAACATTTGATCAACAAGGGATGATTGCAAAATATTGGTTAAATAAAAAAAAGTATGGCAGTAAAAGACACATTGCCACTGATCCCCCTCAACATACTTACCCCCGCTTGGAGCACACCTATCCCGTTGTTCTTAGCAATGTGTCTTTCACTGTCAAAAAGTTTTGTTTTGTTTTGTTTTGTTGAGACAAGTTCTCACTGTGTTTTCAAGCCAGCATTAAACTCACTACATAGCCCAGGGTGACCTCGAACTTGAGAGGATCCTCCTGCCTCGGCCTCCCAAGTGCTTCCATCACAGGTGTGCATCACCACATTCAACAATAAGTTGTTGTTTTTTTTAACATTAAAACTTTTACCCTGGGCCAGGGATTTAGCTTAGTGATTCCTCTGCCTTCCTTGCAAGCTCAAGGTCCCGGGTTCGATCCCCAGTACCAAAAGAAAAGAAAAGGAATGAAAAACTTCTACCCTGCATTTTCATGTGTCGTGATGTGAAACTGATTGGGAAACACCAATTGCTGTAACCGATCCCCCATGCTCCCCAACACGCGGGAACACACGCACTCCCCGGAAGATGGCAGCTCCATGTCTACATCTGGAAAAACACCACATCTGCTGGGCTTATAGCCCCAGAGAAGGAACATCCTGGCCAGGATGGGTGGAACTGACTTTCCTTCCAGACAGGAAGTGGGAGTCAGGCTTCCAGGAGCCGGGGCTGGACAGGAGGGTCCAGCAGCAGGCAGAGGTGTGGGAGGCAGCTGGTGATGGAGAATTTAAAGGCCTTTGAAACTCCTGCGACTGGATGTGTCTCTTCCGCCATGTGGTGGGGTGGTGGAGGCTGTGCTCATCTGTGCCCCGCAGCGTTCCCCCACACCTCATCCCCACCCTGCAGCCCTTGTAAGCTGGGGTCCCCTGGCATCTCCGCAGTCAGGGCATTTGGGAGCTCAGAGAGGCTGAGAGGCTGCCTTGGCCGAGATCACCCAGGAGCTGGGATTAAACTAGGTCTTCTGGGAAACCTGAGACCCCAATCCTGCCTGGCCTGGCGGCCTCACGTTTCTGCTGTGGCCCAGAGTAACAGCGGTGGTTTTTATTTTCTTTTGATTTTAACAACAAGAGAATGTGAGACCAGAGATTGAAAAGTAAGATAGTGGGAGGTCAGAAAGCCGCCTGGACTGGGCTGGGGTTTCAGGAAATGCTCCACCTGTCAGATGTGAAAACAAACACGGGCCTGGCCAGCCCTTCCCACCAGGGTCAGGGCAAAGTCCGGAGAGGTGGTGGTCACCGTCCGCTTACAGGTGCACGGCCTGGGCAGATCCGCCTGTCACCTTCCACTTTCTGTCCGGACACAGATCCCTGCCAGGCATTCAGGCCTAGCTGGCCGGTCCCTGTGGCCCAACCCCGAGCTGGGGACAGAGGCCCTGGCCATGCAGAGGACAGAGGTTGCCTCCCTGTCCCCTCTCCCAGGAGTGGCAGAGGCATCCCTGGCTTGGAGCCCCCAGGCTGGGAACACACCTGGGGCTGTAGGAAGCCCCACCGTGGCTCCGGAAGGAAATCAACAACTTCTGGGTCATCACCCAACCCTCTTTGCTCTCATTTATATGTTGCTTACTGAGTGCAGGTCACTTAACATACACTGACTCCTTTGGGCCCCATGTAACCCATGGTCACGTTCATTTCATAGCTGAGTTTTTAAATTTTGTTTTGTCTGTTTTCCCTGTTCATTTCATAGCTGAGTTTTTAAATTTCGTTTTGTCTGTTTGTTTTTGAGGGTCTCATTGTGAAGTCCAGGCTGGCCTAGAACTCATGGCAATCCTCCTGCCTCGGCCTCCTGATGACTGGGATTTTAGGCGTGCATCATCAACCCAGCCTCACTATAGCTGGGAGAGCTGAAACACAGGGGCGTGGCCACACGGGGAGGACTGGGCCAGGGCACAGTGGATTGAGCCCACTGTGTGCTGACCTGGTGGCAAGTGACTGTCCTACGTGTGGGGCAGGGCAGGTCACTGACCAGGAAGTCCTTCTGCAGGTTTTCCTGAGGACCTTCGTCCAGCATCGCAGAACCAGGGGTGGTGTCCCTGGGTGCTGTGACTCTGCACCTAGGACTCCTTCTGCCTCTCCACGTGGGAGCCCCAGTGAGGAGGGATGAGGGAGCAGATGGGATACACAGCTGTGCACCCCAATTTCCTGGCCCAGCTGGCCCAGCTAGCTGTGTGACCTTTGGTCTCCGTTGTCTCTGGGCCCCTTAGAAAGTGCAGTGATCCTGCATGTCTCAGGCATAGTGATACCGCGCTGGTAAACGACCCGGGGAGTGAGTCCACGGGGAGTCAAGGGTGGGTCGGAGGCGTGGAGCTTCAGGTGACACTATTTTCCAGCCAGCCGCTCCCTTGCCGGGTGCTGCACACCAGGAAACCAGGTCTGCCTGCACCCCACACAGGGGCCAAGGGCCGGGCGGGCTCCCCGAGGGTGGCACTTACACTCTCAGACACCAAGGAGTCTATCGGGGCTTGGGAACCTCTTGGATCCCCCAGCGAATCCAGGATAGGGGCCCTGCCTGAGGGTGAGTGGGAGGGGAGACACCCCCAGCCCCCAGCAGGGCTTTGTCTGGATGGCACTTGCCTGCTGCAGGTGCAGGTGCAGGCTCAGGGTTTGTGAGCCACAGGAAATTCAGGTCCAGCCTGGGGGAAGCCGCCCACCCTGCCCCAGCCAGTGCTGTCTTCCTGAGGACCAGAGTCTTCTTCCCTGGGTGATCAGAGTTGATTCTGCTCCTCCCAACGCCTCCCAGCCTCTCCAGACCCCCTTTCCTCTCCTTATTCCACCCCTGCACACCGAGTGCTTATAGGTGCGTCCCCTCCTCCCAGAGAGCCTGGGCCTAGCAGGGGGTGGGGACGCCCATGAACACAGAGGCCGAGTGACCTCTGCTAGTGACTGGGCCCGGGGCTGGCATGGGCTGGTTCCTCCAAGCAGCTGGAAGTGAGGCCTGAGTGTAGATCAGGAAACAGGAAGGCCCAGGCCTACAGGGGAGCCCTCGGAGGACTGGTTCTGGCAGGGAAACAGCAAGTGCAAAGGACCTGAGGTGGGCAGAGGCCAAGGGTCCTGGAACAATAGAGAGGATCATGTATAAGGGGCAAGGGTGACAAGAGGGAGAAGGGACAGGGCAAACCACAAAGAGCTCATCAGCTACATAGAGTCTGGGCTTTGTTTTTTTTTTTTTTTTTTTTCCAGACTGGATCTTGATCTGTAGCTCAGGCTGGTCTTAAACTCACTATGTAGCCCAGGCTGGCTTTAACTTTGCAGTGATCCTCCTGACTCAGCCTCCAGAATGCTGGGATTATAGGCTTGCATCACCGCGCCCAGCTTTTAAGGCTGGATTTTATAGCTTTGACTACATCACCAGTAGAGAGGTGCAGGCCAGAGAGGAGCAAGATGTTGTGTTTCTGGAGTCCTTGTTGCCACTGGGAGGTCAGCGCTGAAACCTGTGACTCAAGGATGCGGCTCTGGTCCGGGCTGTAGTGCAGGTGGGGCACTGCGGGTCCAGAAGGAGATGCTGGGCTCTGAGGTGTTGGCTGAGCACTCTGAGCACCCTTCCCAGGACTCTGCAGCACTTAAAGCAGGGAGTGCCGCCCCCAGGGACCTTTGAAAGCCCAGCGTCTCCTGCAGTGTGGCCCCGCGGTATTGGGAGCGATTAAGTGCGGGAAGGAGATGGACTATCCATGTGTCCGTGCTGAGCGTCTCATGGACCGGAAGCCTAATGCAGGTGACTCAGGGAGGAGACCAGCTGCTCCCGCCCAGTGACAGCGCAGCCTTCTGTCCCCGACAGTACCACTCTCCTGGACCTGCCTTCTGAGGAGCCGCTCCAGAAAACACTGAGCTGCCCATCACGGGACAGGTGAGGAGGCAGAGATGGAGGGCAGGCACCTGGGCGAGGTCACACGGGCTGTTCCTCAGCGTGGAGGTCGGGCCCAGAAGCACCACAGTCCCCGCACCCCATGGGCTCCCCATCTCTGGGCCTCCCACCCAGGTGAGGGCAAAGTGAGCCGCCAGCCTTTCCAACCCTACCTCCTGCACCTGAGGGCCTCAGAGGTGGGGAGGCCAGGCAGCAGCTCCTGCACTCAGAGCACCCTTGGGTGAGGACAGAACAGGCCTGAGCATGGTTTCAGCTGACTCAAAATAGTGGTCCTCTGACTCCCTTCAGGTGGCTGAGCACTTCAAGTCCTGTTGTCCCAGCGGCAGCCCCTCCTGCCCTCCTTCCCGCTCCACACACCCATCCATCTACCCCTCTATCCATTTACCTGCCTGCCCACCCACCGTCTACCTACCCATTCATCCACCCACCCGTCCATCCTGCCATCGACCCATCCGTCCGTCCATCCTCTCACACCGCACCATCCATTCATCCGTTCCACCACTTATCTACCTGTTCATCTTTTCATTCAGCAGCATTTTTTGAGCACCTACTTTGTCCTCATGAGGAATATGTCATCTTCCTACTCCAGGCATCACAGTGCATGGGGCGAGGACAAGTAGACATTACTGTGGAGCGGATGAGTTACAGTAACTGTCTTTGGCTGACAGCTGACCATATGCCAGGCATTTTGCCCATGTTTTGTCATTTAGTGTCCGGAAACATCTGAGAAATAGCTTTTACCTTCCTCATTTCACAGAGCGGTAGAGTGGGGCTCAGAGGGGTTCTGTCACGCGCCCGAGATCACACAGCTAGGAGGTGACAGGCCCGCATTTGAACCCCGGGCAGTCCCTCACTGGAGCCTGCTGTGGGGGCCGCTCCCAGAGCCAGTGCCACTGGAATAAAGCCCTCAGCAGCGTGTGTCCTGGAGGCGGGGGTCTCCCAGAGGAGGTAATGTCTGGGCTGAGGAATCAGCAAAGAGCAGGAGTTGGAAAGGTATTAGCAGAACAGTTTCGCTTTCCAGCTGATTTGACATCGGCGGTACATCGGGCAGTTTCAGCTATCGCGGCCTGGCAGTGGGCACCATGCCTGCTGTGCTCAGGGCGCCCACGGCCCGGCAGGAAGGCCCCTCCCCACCGTACACAGCAGGCGCACACTGGCGAGGGCCCCGGGGGACGTTCTGCAGGGAGACAACTCCGCCTCACTTGTGCGGGGACTGGGCCGGCTGGCGCTGACGACACACACCGACCCGGCCGGGCTCATGGAGCCCC